CTTCTTTAGTAGCTGAAAACTTTATTATTCTCAAACTTGTAGAGGGGCTCTTATAATTTTGGAAACCCCTGTAGTGTAAGGATATATAATTTTGAAATAGATGACAAATTCTTGCCTAGATTTATGAACAGAAAAGACTTATGTAATGATAATAAGTGGATAGTGAGAGTTTATTATTCTACACTTAATTTCTACGTTGTAGGATTGGATAATCCTGCATATTTCTTTTTTAAAAGATAATATGGCGATGGATAACTATTCTTATTATCAATATTCCACAGTTCGCTATGCATATAATCAGAATGAGTATTTTCTATTCCATTTCTTTCAAACAAATTCCATCTATATACATTTTGATTGATGATGTAAAAGGTATTTTAGGAATTGTCTTCAATATCTTATTATCTATATTGTTTGTTTTTATTTCATCATTTCTTATATTAATCATTTGTAAGTTGATCTTGACACGAAGATTTAATCAGAAGTAAATTATAAGTTTCTAAAACGATGAAATATGAATATAAAATAAAATTCATAATTTTCTCAGGATTCTATTTTCATACTTCTATTCATATTACAAAAATAAATCATATCCACTATTCAATTTCAACAGAAATATCGAATTACTTTCTTAAATTTGATAATACCTTTTGTGTTTATTTATAGGATATCTATTAACTTACCAACGAATGATAATCCAACTCTTATACCAACGATACCATCAATTAATAAGGAATCAACCAAGACTGAATCTTCTGATCTAAATTTTCAAACAGATACCAATTCTGTTGGCAGAGATTTTGCTCCAATTTTCTTTATTCTAGCAATAATATTTGTTCTTATACTTCTTGGATTTATAAACATATTACACAATCATTATTTATATCCAAGGAATAATAATAATAATCTATTTCATAGTGGAAGACGTAATAATAATTCTGTTTATTCTCAATTAACATCTACAAATGATTTCGATCTAAATTAAAACTATTATTATATCCTTTTTTTTTTTTTTTTGTTTGTATTTATTTCTCTTCTATTTATTGAAATTTTATGAATAATAATCTTCGTTTAAAATGAAGATTTTTTCAATGTTTTTTTTTTGCTCTGATTTTGTGAACAGATCAAACAATTTATTCGATTCTTTCCACTTGTCATGTAGGTTTGCACAATACTAATAGAAAAAATGTGACAGACAACTTGTGAAAAAAAAATCAATAGTATAGTAAAGAGAAAAAGAACGAACAAACGAATTTCTTATAAACACGAATTTTCTTTCGTTGTTGACAACATATAGTATTTTACTTTCTTTTTTTTTTTTTTACATCGTCTCAATTGCAGATCACCAATTTACCTTGATTTAACCGCCTTTGAAAACAGCGATACCGACTGTTATACGTGCCTGTGCATATCAAATCAAATATCTAATCCAAACATTATTTTAATTTTTTTTTTTTTTTGTAGTAGAAAAAACGAGGAAGCCAATAATACAATAACCAAGTGAAATTTGATTTTATTTCTTTTGCATTTATAAATTAATATTATATAATGAAATTATTTTGGTTTGATTTTTAAAATTCCAAAAATACAATGAATCGTGGTCTTATAGTTATTCGTTATCGAAAAGCCACACATATTGGTTTAACAAGTTCATGTACTTGTGTCTTGGTACAAATTTTTTATTTAACCAACGTTAGTCGATATTTAAAATAGATTTTTAATTCTTAATTTGATTTCATTTTAATAATTCTCAAATTTCATAACAACAAACTAAAACTGGCTAATCATCATCAAGATGAATGGGTAATCATTGAAGATGAAGTAGAAGAACAAAAAGGTAAAAAAATTATAAATATGCATAATTTTGAATGTCATGATTGTGTAATAGAATTGAATGAACTGCATTCATTTTAGTCTCTTTTGGAGTTCTTTTGATAATAATTGTTTTTTATATGCAAATGAAAATTTCCTAATATAACTCTCACACATACTCAAGAAAAAAAGAAACATAAAATGTTCAATCTACACTTGAAAATGTATTTTATTCCTTCTTTTTTTTTTCTTATAAATGCAATCGACAAAAGAAAAACCTAGATGACAACTTCAATTTTGTCAGAATATTAAAGTTTTTTTTTTTTTTTTTTATGTAATTTCTATTCAGATATTTGTCAAAACTGTTGAAAGAATAGATTATACTTTATCAGTATATGAAGGTGTCAATCACCGGATTAATCTTCGAAGAACAAATATGTTGTAAGATATGTTTATAAGTTGTACTAGAAGATCAATCGATAAAAAAAAAAAAAAAGAAAAGGGTAAAAGTACTAGACAGACATACATATGTATAATACATAAGGATTAGATCGGATCAAGATAGACGAGAAGAAAGAAAATAAATTGAACAATAAAAAATACAGAAGTGCCAATGATTTATGAAGACTATATCATCTTTCATCTTTGTCTAGAAAGAAGCCATTTGAAAGTAACCTTCTCTATTAATAAAGATTTTCACTTACTTATTAAAGTAATATTAATATACTATAGAACAATAACACAGTCTTGATCTTTATGTTATTATATGTTCTTATTAGTTTATTGATATAAGCTTTAAATGCTATTGAGTGTGAAATTTTTCTCGTTGTTTTGACGTTTTTCTTCAAGGATTGTCCTTATATATATATATATAAGATTTAATATAAGAAATATTACCTTCAATTAATGTATATTAGAAAGTATGAAGGTTTAATCAAATATTTATAATTGTTCTTACCTTGTCTTTAACTACTGACATATTAAGGTTTTGTTTCGTTTTGTCACAATATTAAGAAAACTAATTTTGTCAAAAATCGAATCAATATTTTTTTTTGCATTGATGCATATAGAGTAATTACATATTATTCCTATAGAATAGTAACGTATATTATTCTAATAGATTTTATACAATAAATATATTTTAGAGGTACATTCAATTATTTTTAAAAGAATTGTTATCAGAATAACCTGCGGAGTTTTTGTATCAACAAACGAGTAGTAAATCATTAATGAGATGAATAATTATTTCTATATCTATATGTGTTCATATCATATTTCTTTTACCTTACTGAAATAATAGAATGATAACAAGTAGAATAATCCATCGTTCACTATGATATGAAGAAACAACAGGAGGTATTATACATAGTCTACATTATCGTAACATTAGCAGCAAAAAAAAATAACTTATAATAGAAAGAACTGGCATCGATATGTATATCGTGTAACAGCGACAAGAAAACAAGTTTCATCTGCTTTCTTTTCATGCATGTGTGCCTATGTATATATATATAGACCTTAGTCTATTGACATGTTGATCCTGACACGTTTGATGCTCAATGCATTAATACGTTATGTTCTCTCCGTTTTTCTCTCCTTCTCTCTTTTGTTCTTATCTTTCAGATCAGATAACGCTCTATTGCTTCTCCATTTTTTTTCCATTGTTCTATGATATATTGCTATATAACCGATTAGTGCAGGTGACAAGCTCATCATATATTGATCTAGAACAAACATGATTTAACGTCCTGATTTCACTTCAAAATCGATATTAGATAAGATGAATGTTACAGGTAAATAAAACTCAATGTGTTTTTTTTTTCTATATCGAGTGTTAATTCAAATTAATGAATACATAACGATGCACAAGGTTTCAATGAGACGAATCGTATAGTTTATGATTTTTTTCCAGTGTGTCATATAACATAATACACGGAAATCATGACGAGAGCAAGTACATAACTAAACTGAGTACCTACGTGTGTGTGTGTGTTCTCTCTCTCTCTCGGTTGTCTATAAAGAGTACCAAGTATATATATATATGTCACGGAGAATGTTCATTTTATAATTCTCAATCACATATTTTTTTTCATATACGTAGTCAATTACTATTAAAACATTTTTGCAAATCATATTCTTTTTCGTCCTTCATTCTTCTTCGCAGAGATGTCGTAGTACGGTAAAAGAAGCAAAAAAAAGCACAATTGCTAATGGTTGATGACCTCGTATAAAGTGAAAGTGAAGGTATGTGTGTGGGAAAGAAGAGGAAAAAAAGAGTCGTCAATATTTCTCTTTTTTAACAACACGTACGGACAATACTAATAAAAAAAAAAAAGAAGAAAAAAAAAAAGAATAGAAATGAAATAAAAACATCAATTCTTTTCCACATATCATTGGGTACGTGGTGGCGACATTGATTATAAACAATGAATCGCATCGATGAAGAAAACGATTTTAATGATATTACGAAACTAATAATAGCAGGTGAGAAGAAAAATATTATATTAAAAACCTATAGAATCTATTCTTCTCTAATATTTATTTATTGATAAATATATAGTTGGAAACTAATTTGTACGGTGCATCTTTTCGTTACAAATATTGTCTACGTTCTTCTTTTCTATATAACGATATAGTACTTGATGTGTCTATATATATATATATATGATTGAACAGATGTTACAAAGACCTTTACTTTAGTCGATCAATATTCTTCTACTCAACAAGAACTACCTGTAGAATATAGTAGTCATAACATTTATTCAAGCAAATATTCCAATAACAAGAACGATCGTTCGAAATATCAAACAACAAATCGACCGACTTCTTTACCACCAGCAAAACATTATTCATCTATGAATGAAAATTTTGATGAAGATACAAAACAACGTCGACGATATGTAAGTGAATCAAATACAAATCATGATGAATATGATTCAAATTTACTTGTTACTTCATTTCTTCAATATTTACGTAATGAATTAAGAAAATCAACAAATGATAAAACAAATGATTTTGATCAACATACAAAACAGGTATAGAATAATCTATTTTTATTTATGAAAATCAGAATATAAAAAAATAAATTCTTATTTTTCAAGTCTTTGAATCAATAATAAAAGTTGTATCGAAATTATGTTGGCATTCTTTCTTATTTACTTTCAAAGTTAAAAAAAAAAGCTGTTTCTCTTTTTTTTTTTTTTTTTCTGGTTTATTGTTCGTTCGTATATAATTAAATATTTCAATCGAAATAATCTTATAGTTGTTTTGCATTATAATACATATTAAATATATTCCTAGTAAATTAACAATTCTAATTTATGTAGAAATCATCGAAAAGTGCAATATCATCATCAATAAAAATATCACAATCGATTATAATGAATGCTCAATTAAAAGATGAAAATATATATGAAATAAATGATTATAATGAAATATTAACATTAATTAATTTACTTTGTTTACGTGTTGAATGTTTATCATATGAAAAAAAAATAAAAAAACGAAAAAAAAAAACAAAAAAAAAAAAAGATAAATATCCAAGTGTTACTGAAATTGATCAAAATTTAATTGAATATCTTTATTATCTTTTTAAAAAATTTATTTATAATGATACAAATATATCAAATGATTTTAAAACACCAATTATTGATAAAAATAATTTTGTTAGTATTTGTCAAACATTAGTACGTAATGGTTGTTTTGATATACCATCAACAACAATATCAAAATCACCAAATCAATCATTTTCAGAATCATTAAGTATAAGTGATAATACATTAATTTCACAAACAATTGTACATGAATATTATCATCCAGATACAAGTCAAATTTTAGAAGAAAAATCATTTACAAATGAACAAATTTCTTTAATGACATTACCTGAAAAAGATACTTGGCTTGTTGTAGATATTGAACCAATACAATCTGAAGAAACTTTAAAACCTTCTGAATATATGGTAAGTTTTATTAGAGGTCATTAGGTAGAAAATTTTCGAATTGTACTTTCATATTGTCAAAGATATTTTCTAATAGAAAATCGAATCATCATTCCTAAAATATGCAATACTGAGTCCAACTCGAATTATGATTTCAAGATCTCTAAAAAAAATTTAACATTGTCAGAACGATATTATTAATCAGTACAAAAAATTTCGAACGAAATAAAAAGCTCTCATATTTTTCTCCGACATTGTTTCACATACTTAAAAACATGACAAAAACAAAATAGTCAATGTTTTGATAAAGTTCGTTTTTTCTTTTTTGTTTTTTTGATGTTTGTAAACCTTTATTTTGTGTTCGCACACATCAAATAGAAACTTCTACGAACTATTAAAATCACTAACTAGATTCAAACTAATTGCTTAATATTATGGTAAAAAAAACTATATCAATATTAAACTTTTTTATTTAAATCAATCTCTTCTAGTTCTAATAGAAGTGTTGAAGTGTATAAGTTACAAAACTTACACCTATTTCCCTTCTACCCATCGACCATGAATAGATATCACCTTGGAAACTCATCATAGACCGTGACAGACATTAACCAGAGGCCAACACATACGTTCTTGATATATGATTATAGAATTTATGTCAATGACAGCTTCTTGCAATATATTAATGTTTCTTCTTGTCTTTCTGAAGGATTAAGTAATAGAAAGCTAAAGAGTTATATTCCAAGATATATAGAATAAAATAAAATCATTGTCATAAGCAACACCAACAGCTACATTGTGTTTCATATATTAATCCCGTAGAGATTGTACTAACAACTTTTATTTTTTACTATGTATGTAGACGAAATTTTATTTTATCTAAATAACTTTCTCTTACGAGGCAATCATTCGAATTGATATTCACTACTTAAAACTCCCCTTTTTTGCCTATAAGGATATATTAATAAAACTAATAGAAGCCTTAAGAAAAAGTAATATCCTGAAACTTTTGCCGAGAAATTGAAAAATAGTCGTTTTTAAAAATCGTAAAAATTTCATATTGAAATACTAGTTTTTTTCTTTTTCTTATTTTTCCTTGACGCGACTTCTAATTATTACTAGAAGCATTCTTGTCAAATAGTACAAGGTCAACCTGTCAATTTCTTTTTTTTTTTTTTTTGTCGAGTTTCGTCGTCTGCTTTTGTCATTTCTCTATTAACAAAAATTCTATTAACTAAAAAGGATTCATCATCATCGTCATTTTGACGAGTAGATTTTAATCTATTTTTTTTTCTGTCCTCTAAAATCCTTTCATGCAAGCTTATTACTTCTACAGACAAGACCATGATATTAATAGTTTTCAAGCTATTAATAGAACTTTCATCATGTATTGTACGATTCTCTGATATGATATGCTTATATTACGATATAGGTCTTTATTTCCCTTGCGTCATTGTTACCATATGACAAGGACCATTAGTATCAACACGAATGAGTTCAGTCATATATTGTGATTTGCTAATTGATACAATCTACGATACTACATAACACTAATAATAATGGTTTATTCAATTTGAATATCACAAATTGAATTATTACCTAATCCGTTTCTTCTTATCAGATAATAAAGTAAGTTTTATTATAATTTGATTCTAGCCCTTTGTATTTATTTAAGATTTACAATGTTAATCATATCTATATACAAGAATAAATTGATAAATTCTTATTAATGAAAACCAAAAAAAAGAAACTCAATTAATTCATATAGAATATCATCAAGGAGACAAAGTCTATTTTTAAGTTATAAATAAAAATTTTAGTTCTTCTTTTTTTCTTTGCTATTTATTTGTCGATAAAATGAAACCTTGATCAAACACATATGAAAAAAAAATTTTTTTTTTTTTTTCAAAATAAAATTATTTTAAATTTCAAGGATAATAATATTATATTTATATTAAAATTTATTAATATATATTAAAATATTTAACCATAAATATATAAATTACATCATTATGTTCGGGTTTCTTTTTGTTGATTGTCTTCATCGTCTTTGTCTAATAAATAACCTCGAATACAACCATTTGTAAAGCCTTGAGCATAGAATAGACGTAGATAATATTGACCTTTATATATTCGAGAATAGTTTTCTCATCTATCATCATTATTTGATGACCATTATAGTGGAAGAATAACAATGAATATGTGTAAAACTTATTCATGCCTATTTAAATATGTTTGTTAATTATCAAGAAAAAATATTTCTCCTTTTTTCTTTTTTCTCTACTATGAACATATAAAATATTATTCATGTATATAAAAACATTTGTCTCTTTCTATTCAAGTGTTCACTACCAAGATCAACAACAGATGAACAATTATTGATAACCAATGATGTTTATAAATCATGCGAATCTGGATCATCACATAGCATTTATTTATCACCAAATTCTTCATCAATTGATTTACCAAATATGGTACTAGAATTCGATGAAATAAATCACCAATCTAATACATCATTCAATGAAGGTAAGCAATTTCTTTTTTATTATTTTATACAGATCAAATAACATGAAAAAAAAAAAAAGAATAAAAACGATATTGACGAATTCTATATCAATAGATGGATCATCATTGAATGTCATCAGTGAATCGAAAACAATAATAACCAATGATTTATCAAATGATGATATTCAATCTTTGTCTATAACAAGCAATACCATTTGCACAAGATTAACTAATGATACTAGTTCGATTGAAAATAGTGAACAGATGACAACAAATAATACTGATAAAATGTCTCGACGTGAAAAAAAAATGCACGAACGTTGGTCAACATCAAAAAAAACTGATGAAAATAATAATGAACAACCATCAACAAAAACAATATTAGGTATACAATTCCCGCCGATTGCTGTTCTTCGACGAAAATTTTCATCATCATCATCGTCATCGTCATCAATAAATAAACAACAAAAAAATAAAACTGGTATAAATCCAAATGAAAAATTAAACGTAAATACATTTATGACAGTGAAGGTTAGTAAAGTTTCATGAAAAATTAATACAAAGTAAACTTTTCGTAAAAAAATATGAAACATTTTCGATGAACAGATAAATTTAAGAATTAAATCTTAATAATAAATTCTAATTTATCAAGATGAAAGATGATGCAATTGAAGCTTAAAGTATACTAATAATAAAAAAGACAGTAGGGAAATCACTGCAGGAGTCGCATTTGCTTGTTATTGGCTTCAGTTATTGTATTTAACAAAAAAAAAATAATATGCTAATAGAATTGCTTCGAGAATTACAAAACAAATCCCATATGTAAAGAAACTCAAGTGCGATGAAATATACAGGGTGTCCCAAAAGTCCGTTGGAAAAGTTAATTCAAATATCTCTTATACGACTCAAGCAATTTAATCGATTTTTTTATAGTATGTTAGTATGTTCTTTAAAGTTTTGTTCTGTATATTTTTGGATAAATGTCTGTGCCTATAACTATTAGAATTAGAATAGTTCTATTAATGCCCAAATTTGAGTTACCTATCATTGTGAAAGGAAAAATGCAAGTCGAATTTGACATAAAAACGCTACACATGGACTGTGCTATTGCCGCTTTTCAAGGCCTTTGCGAAATGAGTATAGTAGTAAACAGACAACAATTTGAAAGACCTTCAAAAACTACAAAAGAGAAAATCAGCAAAGTTTATGATAATTGTGAAAATGTGCCACTATCAAGTGTTCGGGTTGTTGCAACAGCCTACTTCATTCCATGGACAATATCAGGACGAATTATCACTGAATATCATCTAATGAATCCATATAGAGTGTAATTTCTCCTATCATGTCATAGAGAAGATTCATAAGATCGAGTTGAAATTATATCACTTTGATACGCAAATTACAAAATATCCACAATCAGAAGAGCTCTTTTTTTTCATACAAAGTCTCTTTTCATTTGAATGGTTTATTAACAAATATAAAGTAGAGACCTATATACATAAGATATATATATAAAGATTTGGTTGAATTCAAAATAAGAACCGATAACGAAACGAAATTAGCTCGAAAATAAACTTTCTGCAATTTTTTTTAGAGATTTCAAAAACGATGGATTTAGGTATTATACTTCATGGTAATCATTTTGAATATTTGTTGCAAACTAAATTATGTGAAATAAAACTTTAAAGAACATACTAACACATTATAAAAAAATCAATTAAATTGCTTGAGTTGTATAAGAGATATTTGAATTAACTTTTCCGACGGACTTTTGGGACACCCTGTATAGGAAATAGATCATCTAGGGAATTGGATTAGATTAAAATATGAAGATTTATGCGACGTGAAGATGTTCTTGATAATCAATAAAACTTATTGAATGTATCAGTAAATTAAAGTAACAATGTGCTTTGATTGAGTGAATATTTTACATTGAAACCTTGAAAAATATGTAAGGTTTCCTAATTAAGTTATCGAAGTGATGTTTATCAAACATTCGATTTATAAAATAGAGAGAGGATGATTTGATTGATTGTATTTCGATTTTTATCTCAATTTTTTTTTCTTGTCGTTTTCTCTAATCGTCACAGTGTGAACTCAATGAACTAATAAAAGTATAACTAATCATATTGTATCTGGTCAATATCAATCTCAAATAAGTATGACCACTAGATTATTTTAATTATTCATCCTTGAAAATCAGTGAATTTTTAAAATACAATAACCTCTAAAGTTTCCTTGACCGATTTTTCAATGGCAGTAGTTACATGTAGAGTTATTTGTTCAATAGCTGCTCTATACATACATACAAAATAAGACTAGTACTTTAAACAAACGAAATACAGGTTTTTTTTCTCTTCTTCTTCTCTTGCTAATGTGATGATAAATAACATGTTTCAAAGTTCGAATGTATATTCAGCTGTATGTATTTTCTTTGATTATTTGTAGGAGATTAACACATTGCCAACGACAATCACAGTGGAACAAACGAATCTTGATCAAACAGTTGAATTACCATCGAAAGGTAAAATGAAAGAGAGCAAAAAATGACTGGAGAAAACATTTAAAAAAAAAGAAAAAGAAAACAAAATCTCATTATTTTTTATTATTCATAACCAATAGAAAACAACGTGAGAATTAAAATTTTCATCATTACTAATCATTATTCCATTAAAAAAAAAACCTACGCATATACATAAATACATCCACACCAACGCACACGAAAAAAAATTGCAAGGTCAACAAAATCCTTTTTATTTTACGTGTCCAATACACGGTTGATTTCTTCGTTTTTTTTTTTTCTTCTCTCTATTGGTGTTGTGAATTGATTGATCACTATCGATCTCATTTATTAAACGTGCCCAAGGATTGAACCTTCCCACAAAAATTATATTGAAACGAAAATTATCTTTTCTCCTTCGATTGACATCTAATTTATCTATTTAGATCTATCATTGTTGATAAGCACGAATGTCGATAAAAACAATGATGATGGACAACTGCCAGTAACTATATCTAATTTTATTTGTTTACCAGAAGAAGAAGAAGAAGAAATCAAAATGAGAAAAAAACAAGATCCATTATTACCAGACATAGATTATCAAAAAGAAACATTAACAAATATTGATAATGATTCAATTGATAATCAACAAACTAATAATGAAAATAGTTCGGTAATAAGAAATAATCCATTAGATTCGAATTTATTTTCTTCTTCTACTTCTTCATCTACATTAATATCAATATCTTCTCCTTCAACGTCATTCACGAATGAAAGCAATACTATCGAATATTTACCAAAAGAAAAAGAAGAAAAAAAAGAAGAACAACAACATTGTGACGACGTCTACAATGTCGAAGAAGAGAAAAAGAACAACAGTAGCTTCGTACATGACTATCACGCGTCGGGAATAATATTAAGAAACGACGAGCTAAGACAAACAGTCTTATTACAGCAAGAGAAAAAAGAAAAAGAAAAACGAGAGGAAAGAGAACGACCATCATCGTCATTACCAACACTAGAGCAATTCAACAAACAGCGGATAGAAGATGAGTCGCCAATACAAACGCTATCAAACAATTTAAATCAAATGGCAATGGCTAATATTGATCAAAATGAAGAACAATATAAAAAAGTTGAAATAGAAGAAATTCCTGATGATGAAGAAATCTTATCAAAAAAAACAAATAATTCAATCGAACCAACTGATTATATTCTTACTGATGAAGAAACAAAACAACAAAAACAATCTTCACCACAACCAAATATAACAATATCTAATGATGATTCTATAAAATTTGAAAATGTTTTTTCATGTTATGAAAAAGCAATATCTAAAATAATTGATACAAATGATGATTCATCACAAATTTCAAATACATTATCCTCAGAATCATCATCAACAACAACAACAAATCAACCACCGGCTAATGATCCTATTGCATTACGTGCTCTACAACGTTTTGAAGAACGTATGAATGCTGCTGCTAAAAATATTAAAACAGATACAAATTTAAATGCATCAAAAAGTAAATCATCATGGTCTGGAACACTTTCAACTTCACGAAAATCACTTGAAAATTTATTCAAAAATATTGACCAACAATTAAGTACAACTCCAATTACACTTAATAATGAATCAACAACAGTACTATCATCTCAATCGGATAGTTATATACGACCACGTCAAACATTTGATGACAGTAATTTTAATTATGGTATGGCACTCAATTCATTTAGTACAATAAGTTCAACTATTGATAAGAGTAAAATTGATGATAAAAAAATAGACGAACAACAGCAGTCGTCAACATTAGTAGAAAATGATGACAAACGCGGTAAGTGAATAATAAACAGCTGCTTACATCGGCTTTTTTTTTGGTTTGTTGGACGAGTATCAATTACACTGTCAAATTGACGAGAAGCGATAACAGAAAGAACAGGATACCTAATCGTTCCAATGGCTTTCGTATTGTTTTTTATTCCCTTTCAGAATGTTGATTAGAGACCTACTACCTCGTTTAGTGATTACATCAATGCAAATTCTTTGAATGTCAAAGAGAAAAAAGAGCACAATAACACAAGATATAAACCTATTTGTACAACATGAAAGAAATGAAAAGAATTCTATAATGAATATATATGTGTTTTTTTTTCTTGTATGTAAACATGTCTTAAAAATTTGTTTATTTTTTTTACATTGTCTTGTTTATTAATCTTTTAATATATAATCAAATCAAGTATTTGAAAATGTTACTAGTTTTCAAGAAAAATGAGAAAGAAAAACCGAAAGGAAGAATTAAGTACGGGTACATAGAGCTTAATGTGACAGAAGAAGTTCATATTTGCTTTGTACGATGTTCGCTTTTTATCGCCGCAATACCAGCAATCAAATTTTTCTCTCCTTCTTTTTTCCCCTTCCCGCCCCCCCCCCCCCCCTCCCCCTTCATCGCTTCTCTATTACAAATAGAAAAGAAGAAAAAAACTACGCTAAAACCTTTAATCAGTACATTACACAAAATAAAAATGAAAATAATCAATAGAACAAGAACGAATAAATGAGCTCTTTTTTTTTTTTTTCTTTTTTCTCATGATTATCGTTTTGTAAAGTTGTAAAAGGGTATACCTTCAAGGTTGTTTATTTTAGTCACGTACGATTAACATATCTATATAATGTGCAACAGATTTCTTTTTTTGTATGCTTCTGTTTTATTATTCTAGTTGTTGATAACAAGTCAACGAACATTGTTGACTTTAAAGATCAGCAAGAAGAAGGACAACAACAAAGCGCAAATAATGCAACAATGACAAGTGAAATTGATCTCAAAAATGAAAAAGAAAGTTTAAGCTTAATATCTTTACCATCAACTGATAAATCAATAATAAGTAGTCCATTAAATGTAGTCACGACACAATCTTCATTAACAGAAGAACCAGTTATAAAACCGTATGGTTTTCAACTTGAAGGCCGTCGTCGTTTAAACGCTCTTGAAGTAATGCGTGAACGTCGTCAAAGTCGTGAATTTCTCGATAAAATGGAATTAGAAAAACAACAGCAGCAACAACAACAACAACAACTTCAAAATGAATATACAATTAAAGCCGAAGAAGTACAAGATCCTATTGTTCGTCGTGCACTTGAACGTTATGATGAAAAAAATCGTAAATTAATTCAAACAAAATCCGTAAATTATGATGATATTCAAGATCCTATTACACGACGTGCATTAATGCGTCTTGAATCAAATTTAAAACGAGTTATGCCACCACCACCACCATCATCGACAACAATAAATGATTCAAATGAAAATTGGTATACAGAAAATTATACACTTGGTTCATTACAACCTACTAATGATCGTTTATCACGTTATAATAATTCATTTCAATCACCAACATTAAATAATCGAACAAAATATATATCTGTACATCAACGTTATTGTACACCATCATCAAATGAAATATCTGATTTATCAACAACAAATAATCTTATGTCATCAAGTGAACATGATTTACCTATAACGTATGTACCAACACAATCAATTTATGTTACATCAAATAATCAACAACAAAAACAACCAAGTAATATTCGTCAACGATCACGTTCTGAAGATATGCTTACATCAAGAGATTTAACTATTGGACAAACAACAAATCTTGATGATGTTGATACATCATCACAATTACAACGTAATCGTTCATCAAATGAAATTGCATTACTTGATTCAGAATTTCATTTACCAAATACATTAATTAAATCTCTTGAACCAAATTTTGTTCGTACAACAGAATCATCTGTTAGTTATGTTACACCAACACAAACATATTCAGCATATAGTTGTGAATATACACGTCCACGTCGAAATCCTTTATTAACATCAACAACATCATCATCATCAGAAACACCACTAGAATTAAAAAATGATTCAAATCAATTATCTTCTTCTTCTTCATATTCTCAACAAGAACAAAATGAAATTCAACGTCCAATACCATATCGACCAACAATTGATAATCAATATGAAACTCAATCTTCATCGGCATTTGCACCTGTTCGTTCATCTACATCAACAACAACAAGTAATTATTATAATCAACAACCAATATCAACTCCTTCATATGGTTCACCATATACATCAAGTACTCTTAATCAAACACCTTATTCAGATGATCCAATGTAAGTTTTAAATAAAAGAAAAATATTCAAATAAAAATAATTTTTTTTTAACATCTTAGTGTTCGTCGAGCAGTTGAACGATTTAATACACAATTACAAAATAGTCTTCTATCAACATCTCAATATCAACCAACAAATAATTATTTATCACATTCAGCAAATATTCAAGAACCATGGTTAAATTCAAATCGTTCAACATTAATGACAACAAGTACAAGTAGTAATAGTAGTAGTACAGCAGGAGGTTATCAATCAATTATTGGACGTCGTCGTTTTACACGTTATGATGATCCAAATAATTTTCTTGATCAATCAAGTGTTGGTGATGCTTATTCATCATCTGTATTTGTTAATCCACAAAATCCATATTTAATGACAAATCATTATATGAATATGTCTGAACAACCTCCTGTTATTCCACCACGTTTACGTCGAATGAATTATCAAAATGAAGATATCAATGATCAATATCGACGTCATTCAATAGATGAATACTTATCAGAAAACATTAATAATAATAATAATAATAACATTAACAATAATAATAATAATAATCATTCACTTCCACAAGAAACATTTATTCATTATGCATATCCAGCAACAATAACAAATACAACAAGTAGTTTTCGTCCTATAAATATGGATTATAATCAACAATATGATTCATCAAATCAATTATCTCAAGAACAAGATGATCTACATCATCGTTCTCAATCAGTATCAAGTACGAATTCAACAGATAGTCTTAAACAACAACAACAACAACAACAACAATTGAGATCAGCAAGACCAACTAATATACGAACATCATTAAATAATCAACAAAAAGTACCACCACCATCTATAGCTGTACGAACAAGTACACAACAAAATGAACGTAAAACAAATGAAAAAAATATATCAAATAAATTATCACCGGTTAATACTCAATCACCATCAGGTATAATCAGATTCATTAAAAATAGAAATATCTTCTTTTTTTTTCCTTGTAAAACTATAATCAAATTTATTCTATTGTACAGAATACTATTTCAATTTAAATCGCGACTATGTATAATAAGTAGGTTCTAATGAACACTGAATAGAGTTCGAGCTAATCGCTTATCATTGTCGAAATACTATACATTTTACAAGATTGTCGTAGTGCCTTTCAAGAATTTCGACTTGAACTTTTGTATAGAGATAGCTCTTTCTGAGAATAGTTTCTTATAAAAGTTTTAAATTTTTTAATTACTTCTCTTCTAAGATATGGAGCATGCTATTCTCATCAAAGTGTATTTCTATGCAAAATTTTATGTTGAAATTCGAAAATCAATTGTCTTGAGAGAAACTATGACATTCTGCTAACATATATGATATCTTGGCAATAATAGGTAGAGATGTAAGTCGAAGGGTCAAACAGCAGCGGCAGTTTTAGTCATCAAATTTTTTTTCCATGGCGGCCACGCCTACTAGACGTAATGTTTTTTTACACCGGTGGTGGCAGCTGCTGTACTTTATGTTTTTCTGCACCGTTGGTGGCTTTGACAACAAATAAAAAAAGTTTTTGCTCCTAAATGACGGATTGCATATGTATCGATGTCAACGGCGGCGGCGCATCGTACTATTATCAAAAATTTTCGTTCGTGGCGACGGCTAAACAATTCTTAAAACTATCTACGATTCCGTGATGGCGACGGCGGTGGTTCAGCTGTACGGCTTACACCTCTAATAATAGGTTATTAGCACGAACTCTCTTCAACTTATTCATAACTCAGTGTAAAACCTACATAATTCCCACGGAAAAGCGATTTGATACTTAGAGACGCACCGTCATCAGTTATTTTGAAGTTCAAGAATTTCGCCATTGGTAAAATTCTGATCACCTGTTTTATCGATTAGTCTTACTCTACAAAGAAAATCTGAATCAATATTCGAAAGTAGCGAAAAAAAATCTGATTTTGACTTGACCTAGTTGTGATTCGTATCATAGATTAATTTTTCTATAAAAAATTTTCACATCGAAAATTTATAAAAACTCATTCTTATACTCTATAAAAATGAATATTAATAATTTTCAAGGTCAAACACCATCTAATAATGGAAATCAACCAAATGATTCTGTCTTTCATCGTCTTGCTTATACAGGTACAAAAGCATCATTATCAAAATCAAATTCAAATTCTTGTTCAAATTTAATAAATAAAAATTCAACAACACAATTAAAATCATGTGAAATTGATTTTGATGATTCATTAAATTCAACAGCAACAATAACTGAAAATATTAATGAAGAAAATTCATCATTAGATAATAAATATCAACGTTCAAAATCTGTTGATGGTCGAACAAGAATAAAACTTTCTCAAAGTCGTACAAATCAACAATCAACAATAGATAATGATGAAAATAATAATACAATTCATAATGAACAAGATAAACCAATACCATCATCAAGATTTACTCCTATTAATATACGTCGTGAAGCACCAATAAAACCACCAAATAGAAATAATTTATCATATACAAAAACTACAAATGGTATTCGAACACATGGTTCAAATGGAAATATAATTGATACATATAATCAACAACAAGATATTGAAAATAATGAAAATATATCATTTAATACTGATAATCGAACACGTACAACAATACCTGTTCAACATTATACAACACATAATCATATTCAAACATCATCATCAACATCATCTGTTAATAGTACTCATTCACGACCAAAACCACCGGTATCAATTCCAATTAATCTCGATAGAAAAGATTCGAATACATCAAATACAGATCTTAGCAGGTATTGAAAATTGAAATTATTCAAAAGAACGTAAATTCATCTTGAGTTATTGCGTTTGAGAATAATGAAAAGATATTAATCACAAGATATTATAGTTAGTGTGAAAGAAAAATAAAGAACAACTATACTAGCAATTATGCCTATCATGTCTGTGATATATCTTTGCTGATGTGTCTGTAACATTTATGATAAACAGTTGCTAATATGTTTGTTACGTCTATTAGTATAGCTATCGAGATTTTTTTTCCTCGTATACTTCGGCAGTTTTTTTTTTATTAGAAAATGTTTTCTAATAAGAATAGAAGAAAATAAACATCATTATCAAATTCGTAAATATACAAAATTTCAAAAAAAGTAAAAATCATAGTTTTATAAATAAAATTTTTTTTTTTTAGATTACATAGAACGATAGAATAAATAATCTTCTACAAAATTAGACATCATTAAGATTGAATGACAGCGCCAGAGGAAAAAAAAAATTTTCTAGGTTTCTTCTAGTCTCAACAGACTCTACTGAATGATTGATGTTTCACCTTAAACATGAATAATTATTTTCAGGGTAGTTCTGTTGTGAGAAATAGAAATTTGATTGAAGGTCGAATAATGTTTTGTTAATAGCAAACTGGGCAAAAACAAGATTAGAGATTGTCGTATGATTACTTTATATTAGCTAAAAAAAATGTCATAAAGAACACAACGACATCTCATTTTGTACAGTATTATTTACTCTATTACCCGATGTAGTATAAACAAAATAATATTTATCCGATCCAGATGTTGAGAAACTAGCCTTTTTAGTACTTACTACAGTCGGAAAAAAAGAATAAAAATAAATCCTATTGTATATACAGATGTTCTACTACATAGAGATAGACAATTGAAGTTATTTTAACTTAACCTTGAGTCGAAAACAATCTCTGATTTATAAACAAAGTGACAAATCTATTCTTCTTATGTCAATTATATTTTATCAATAAATACTTGTAAAATCTTGATTTATTTACTTTATCAAAACAAATCAAAGATACAGAATATCAAAAATGCTTAAAGCAAAATAAATGAATATATACATGTATCTTATCTTTCTATTTCATACACATCTTTTTTGAATATCTAAAATCGAATAAATCTATTTTAGAACACAAAGACGTTCGGATGATAATCGTTATGTTTCTCCAAATAGCCAACGGCGAAATATTCCCGTTTCTGTTTTTGCACCAGCTAAACTTGATAATAAACGTCCAGCACCTGCACCACCAATATCAAATTTTGAATCTCAAAATCAAACATTTTATACATCTCGTTCATTAACAAATGATAATAATAATAATTCTACAATGAAAATAAATGAAAATCAAATGAATAAAAAATTATCATCAACAAACTCAGGCATTAAAACACCAACAAATATTGTTATGAATGATTTTACACTTGCAAACGATAAACAAGATAATAATAAAAAAATGAACGTATTTGAACGACTTTTTCGTGGTAATAAGAAAAAAAATTAATTCAATATCATTTGTAGATATTCTTATTATAAAACATATATATATATATTCATCTATGAGAATGACTCATGAAGTTTTTTCATTTACGACACGTTTACACTATTTTTTACCGGTTGGAACAAATGAAAATCTTTACCTAACGAAAAAGATCAATATTATTTATTCACAACAAGAATCTGTTTGTTTATGTCTTTTTTTTTTCTTCTTTTTGCTTTTCGTTAACAAACAGTTTCTATGTTCTTCTTATATCATTTAATATAATATCCCCTTTCGTTTTTTTTTTTTTGCTTAACATTTTCTTTGCATTCATATCGAAGATATTCTGTTTCTTCTGACGTTCAGTTCATTTTTTTTCTCTCTCTCTCTCTCGTTGTGTTATTTTTATATATGTTGATCAAAAGATACTCATCTTTTTTGCCTGAAACTTAGATTAAATAATAATAAGGATGGAACAGATAGTGCTTTATTATGCTAACCATTGTTCTTTTTTTTTTTTAAATATAGATTTTAAAGTAAAAAAAAACAAAACCAATACTTGTTATTGATTGTCAAGTATTCAAATACTTATGACTAGATTTTCAAGGAGCGAAACTATCAAAAAAAAAAAAAAACTCAAGACTTCAGTGTAAACATGTAACTATGTTTTTGTTTAAGTTAGACAATTATCATATTGAATTTTGTTTTTTTTTCAAACGAAGAATAACAAACTTTTATCAATGTCCAAATCAATATTTTTTGAATAAATTTTGATAGAAACAAAAAAAAGAGACCTGCGATTGTCACTATTGAAAAGAATAAAATATTTTTTATTAAAATTTGATTGATGAGCTGTCGATGAACGGATTTTCAAAACAATATTCTGAAGCAATTTCTTAGTGAATTTTGATTGACACTGTAACTTTTTTTCAATCTATTCAAGGTCGAGCTTTACAGTTTGTTTCGTTTAGAAATTATAAGAGTTTTTTTTGGAACTTCTGGTTTCGGTTTAATGATCTTGAAGCACTCCGAAAGAGGTAGTTTATCATGCTGAGACGGAAAATGCTAGTATAACGACTTAAAACCAACGTTATCACTAGATTCAGCATGGTTAATTTTGTCCTTAGTAACTTGTTTGAAGGTCTTAGGAAAACGTTACTAACTTCTGAACGAAGCAAATAGTAGACCTTGACCTTGTATATATCGAAAGATAACAATATTCTCTACTGAATAGTCATTTGAAGAATTAAAATTCCACAGGCAATAGCTTAAAAATCTTCATTGACAAGTGATTCATCAAATTATTTTTTTCTTTCGTCAAAGATTTTTATCTTGTTCCTATCGAAAATTATTCAAAAAAAAAAGAACATATTTTATTTGCCTTATACTATTTGTATTGATAGTAATCATTAAATCAAGAAAAAAAAGAAAATTAGACGAAACGAAAATTGTAATATTTGTTTACTACGACCATCATGATAGTTTTTTATGTAGTCTTTCTTTTTTATTCGTTCCCAATGTTTTATATTGACTTGAACCATTTAAAATGTTATTTTTTGCTAGAAAATCTAATGGATCGATCGAAAAAACAAAAGACCTTGATTTATTAATCAAAATCATAAACATATCTCGATAAACTCGCGTTATAAACATACAAAACACTTAATATCATAGACTATTTATTACGTCAAAATAAAAACTATAAGATAAGAACAAAGAAATTTGTTTTAGAGAACCTAATTTTTTTTTTTTTATGTTGATAAAGTATGCGCGACTAAAATAATAAATCTTTTTATAACAAGTTTCAATATTGATTGATATATTATCGAGACAAGATAAAAGTCATAATCCATTACTTTGACATATACTAAAATGAAGTACTTTTGTTATATTTTATTGACAAATTCTGATTTTGATAGATTAAAATTATAGATACAGATGTATGATGTTGATTTAAGTCAAGTGTGAAGTAAAATTATATTGTCTAACAAAGATATAGTTTAATATATTTAGATTAATCCGTTATTCTTCAATATTAATATTAATCTATAATTACATATGTTTGAAATTCTTATAGATAATATTTATTTAAACCTTAGAAAAGTCACATTTTTTTTTTGTTGTTGTTATATGAATGAATCATCAATAAAAAAATGTGGATGTTGATGTCATTGTTTCTATTTCTTTTTTTTGCTTTATTTCAAGGTAAAATAAATTGTTATTTCACAACTGTATGAAATAATGTCAGCTGCTACCTTTTAATCATATGAATATAAAATATTGAATATTATTATTAAGGAAATAGATAATTTCGAAAAGAAAAATTCTTAGTATAATGATCTTGCTAATAGAAACAGAGTTATTATTTTAGTTATCAAAAATTTTTCCTTTGTCTTTTGCTTATAGAAGGAAAATAGTTTTAGAAAAAAAAAATATTTCTATTACTAAATACATTTTCAGATGTCTCATAGTAAACGCAAAGCGGATGTTATTGAACCTGAAGTCGAGAAAGATGAATTAACAAAAGAAAAACATTCAAAAATTGATTCAACAACAAATGATTTTCTTCGTTTAAATGATACAAATTTTATTGAAACTGATTATCAAATTGTATTTCAAACAATTGCTGATAAATTAATAAATTCATATGAATTAGTTCTAAATGAACAACATTTTTTTCGTTTATCAGAAATAGAATTTTATTTTTATCATCATATTCGTCATCCTGATACATTTGCTCATCGTCATCCTGAACAACAATATCATTCAAATTGGTATTTTCATCGACAAGGTACATCACCAACAGCTAGTTATAAAGCTGGAACTTATAAGTAAAAACATAATACAACAAAAACAAAAAAACTTTTTTTTGTTTTTGCTTCTAGAGGTTTAGATTTAACATTTAATTCTTTAAATGATTTATCATATGGTGGTATACTTATTCGATCAATAGAAAATAAACAAACAGGACAAATCTATGAAGGAAGTTGTTTAGTTGTTGATGGTATATTAAATTTATGTAATAGTAAAACAATAAATGAACTTGTTGAAAATAAATTAAATAAAAATTTAAATATATTTAATAAAAATTCATTTATTTATTTACGTACAATATCAATAATAACAAATCAAAAACTTATTTCATCACCACGTGTTGGTTTAACATTAAAAAATTCATCAATTGATCGTGAACGTTTTTTATTTCGTTCATATCGTTTTACATCAAATAATTATTATCCAACAAAAATGAAATTTATGATATTATTATCATTAGCAGGTGAAAAATTTTTTCAAAATAAAAATAAAAAATTTATTGATTATGCTAAAGATTTATCTATTGAAACAAATATACGTTTATCAACAGTAATGAATAATTTAAATGAATTACAAAATGGTTATGATACAAATATATCAAATAAAACATCACCATTAGTTGATTATTATAAAAAAACTTTTAAAACATCTGATTTAATTAAAGCTTATGGAATTTGGTTACGAAATTATCGATAGAATTAAAATAACGTTTTTCTTTTATTTGTTGGATAGAAATTTTGTTATATAAAATATATGTTTGTTTTTTTTTTCTAATTTTATTGAAACATTAATATTGAAAAGAAGTAACAAAATATCATTGACCTTTCTTTTATAATTCTATTTTAAATGAAATATTTCATTTGAGTACCTATTATTTATCAAGTCATTTTTGATTGGTCGTTTTCTTCTTCGGGCAAAAATTGCTAAATAATTACTCATTAACTCTTAACTATTGCATGCATATTTGTAGCGATATTTTTATTTTAAGACTCGTGAATAAGACACCCTTTAATCAGTTATTTTTATTACAAAAAACAAAAAAAAAAAAAGAAATACTACGATGATTTGCACTAAGTGGTCACAATCACATGGTAGCTAATGCGCATACATAAATTGATTTTTATATGCATATAATCAAAACGAATTGCTATTTTTTCTTATGCATTTCAATGTATCATGGTCTATTCTTTTTTTTTTATTCTCGATGACATATTTTTCGTTATTACTGTCAATCAAACGCGATTTCGTATTTAAATTACATATATTCATGACAGTTTCAATGTGTTTACTAGTGAATGTGAATATATACATATATACTAATCCGACGTGATGTGAGCAGGGCTTTTATAAAAGCCGAAAAAAGAAATAGATATTATAACAACAAGACGAATTGTTTTTAAGTACATATCTACACAATCAGTTACTCATTCTACAGGTTTGACGTTGTTATTTTTTTTTGCGTTGATTTTTATAAAACCAAGGATTATTATAAATGTTGTAGAAAAAAAAAGAAAATAAGTACGATTGTTAATTAACTTAATACAGTGTGGAAAAGAGTACATTTGAAAATCAGACAATCACAACAGCTGTTACTTCTTTTTTTTTCATAGAAATGACCTAGATGATGTGTACATACATGATGTACGAAACAAACATTCTACTATATATATATATAGATATGCATGTTTATCAGCATCGAGGTAGTCAAAAAACAAGTCTGTGCTTGTTATATGGGTATAATAGCCGGAAGTGAAGTAAATAGGAGACAGAAATAATAGAAAAAATGATGATGCATGACTCATGACGACTACTATTACGGTCGTAATGGCTTGGCACCCAGCCATCAGCTGTCTCTTCCGTTTTATCGTATCTTTTCTTTTTTTTCTTCTTCTCCTCGTTATTTCAGTTTTTTTTTTCTTCTTGCTTATTAACAAATATTTATTTTGATAAAAATACAACGAATGAAGTATGTTTGCTCATATATATATATATATATATGCCTTTTTTTCTTTTTATTACACGTATTTACTAAAGATTGTTAACATTACATAACTTATTTGATCATCTGTTGTTATTATTGGTATTTGTTCTCGGCATCTACATATATTTTTTTCCATTCTACGCAGTTCTATTACTGTTATTTTTTTCTTTTTTTTTGCTGGCGTTGTTCTCGATGACCCAAATGTAATTATGCAAGCATGTCATCTTCCTTTTCCCCGTCTTTTCTTCACTTTGAAAAACGACAATTATAGCAGACTTTCTCGACGTCGAGTTCGACCATAAGGTCGCATAGCAAAGAAGACACAAGATGCAGTGCTTATGCACACGCAAAAGAGAGAAACGAAGAAGAAAAAAAAAAAGGAGAAAACAAATGCTCGAACGCATGCGAATAGAAAAAAACGCGAATAACAGCGCACCACTGGTGGGAGGGAGTGTATATGTAAAGACGATGTGCGGGCAACGTAGAAGGGGAAAAAAAAGAAGGACATAAAACAGACCAAGAATGTGCAGTACATTCACACACCATCATCATTGCTATCAACCACACACGTGCATTTCTTTTTTTTTCGGGGCGGGCTTTTTTTTTCTTCTCTCGCATTCTCGTTTTCTCTCTTCTTTAGTCTTGCACGCGTACTAACATGAACTTCGTCATATCGTCTATTTTTGTGTCGTTTTTCAGAACATAAAAATAATTTCAACAACAACAACAACAACAACAACAATATTCAATCTTATTGATAACAATTAATTTGTTTTTTATTTTATGATTAATCATTATCGAATATATATGTTATTATGACCTGTTTTTCGTGACAACATTCAATTGGAAGTATATAAAAGGTATTTAGTTAAATCTTGTGTTGTTTTTTGTCGGAAAACAAGTAAACTCGATTTTACACCATCTATTATTAGCGTTAGTAAGACATTTGAATATATATATATGTTTAATCATATACTTCACATTTAAATATATTCTAAAATACAAACATTTTCTTTTTTTTTTTGGAGGGGATAAAGAAAACATTTATATTAAAAGAAAAAAATATTTAGTATTATTTTGCATGATTATGAATGAATGAATCGCTTCATATTTCATTCTTTTGATATCTTTAAATATAAATAAATATATATATATATACATTATATATCTAGCGTGAGTGATGTCATTATATTTGTGTAGTACAGTTAGTTTTTGTGATTATTATGTTTTATTTTCTTCATTATTCAACAAGTTGGAATGTAATCAAGAGAATCTTGTTGTCATCATCATATGTCGTCTGTCACCCCTGTTCTTTTTTTTTTACTCTGATGTCATGTTTCATTTTTTTTTTTTTGTTTTCAAGGTTAAATTCTATGCACCATTTGTAGGTTATTCATCTTATATAATAGATGTAATTTTTTTCGATTATATTGAAAACAAAACTAATGATTATTATTCTTTTACAAAGTGTACTTGTTGTACTGATTATTGATATTATTGATTTCGTGATAGTTTAAAATTCGTAATTGCTCTTTAAAACGTATGCGTTTATTGACTCATGATAGTATATTGTGGGAAGGCTGATAGGTTATCAGTAGTCGTAGCAAAAGAAGAAGAAGAAAAAAAAAAAAGAAGAATAATCAAGTTGATCTATGTTTATGACAAAAAAAAAAGAAAGAACGAACACCCTTCTATTTGCATTTGTTACATGAGAAACTATACGTGTGTTTGAAAGAAATAAAACATTAGAAAAAAAAAAAAGGTTTGAGAACTTGTTGCTCTTTGTAGAGAAAAAGATGGAAAAAGGCTTTTAGGTCTTATTTGTCTGTTGATTAAAGAGGAAGATTATATTTAGATGGTCTTTTTCTTTCCTCTTGAGTTCTCATTTTGTTCGATAGACATATTTTTTTGTAATTCTACGTCATGTTTCTTTTTTTTTTTTTCTTTGTTGTTGTGATGATTAGATATTTCATCATTACATTGATGTGCATTATCTCAATGTTACTGTTATTGTCATTGTAAAAGAACGAGTTAGATATAGATATATATCTTTATATATAGTTCTAATTTATGCCTTTTGTCTGTCATATTTCTTATGTGATTGGCAAACACTGATATGATAGTGACGTGTTTATATATTTTTAGAACTTCTTGACCTTTTCAACAGTTTCATTTTCTTAAAGATAATATTGCATCAGAATATATGTTAAGATTAATATCATATATACATTTCTTAATTTTATAATAAATACTTACACGAAAATGATACGAATTTCTAGACAAAAAAAAAATGATAGAAATTTTATGTACTATAAAGTGAAATAATTATGAAATACATAATAATCTTATTATATGTCAATCTTTATTCAATAAATATAGATTATTCATAGAAAATGAACAATAAAAAAATAAAAAAACCAAACTTTCTTAATTTTACCTTTAATATTAATCATCAAATTATAATAATTTACAAGTAAACTAGAATATGACGATAATACTCTTTTAATATATATATTTATCAATAATAATGGAAACAAAAAACCACTTGTAAATTCGTTTCATTTTATAGTATTGATAATGAGTTTGAAAATAATAATTATACTTCTACGAAAAATTCAATATAATTATTACGATTGCAGTACTAAAACTTAATAGCTAATTTATAATGCTTCATAAAACTTTCATGACCTAACATGTATATAGCAGAAAATTCTAAATATAACTTTTTGATGATTCTTCTATTTTTTTTATAAATAAATATTAAAAATTATATTTTAATATACCTTGTTAATAATCAACCTAAATGAAAAATAAAAAAAGCCTTTTAATATAATAATATTCGAAGCTATGTAAAAACTATTTTATTTTTAAAATAAGACACTTTGTTTTTCTCTTATTATTCAACGATCATCAAGTTCTACAATCGATGATTGTTTTTTTACGCAAGATTACTTTGGAAAAAAAGAATCAATGTGCATACACATTATTTAAATATGTAGACATGAGTCAGGAGTGTAATTATTTACATTCGTACCTGCCAGTTTTCTTTTTCTACTCCTATTTCTTTATGCGTTCGCATCATCATGTCTTTACTATAGGTATGAACGTGCGTATTCTCCTTTTTTTTTTTATTTAATGTTTGACACGTTTAGTTGCATTGGTGATACAGAGAAAAAGAAGAAAGCTACGAAAAAAAAAACGTAATAGTAATAATAAAACAAAGAATTAAGGATATGTTAGTGAATCGTATAGAACTATTAAATTGTTAATTATTATTTATTAAAATAAAAATATTTATTTTTTTTATTTTAAGGTTATTATCAACAAAGTGTATTTATTTATTAAATTTGATTATTAATTATCCTCGCATAAAGAGCGAGGTGTAATATGTGAGAATGAGTTTCACATCGGACGAAGTTAATTATCTTATTTATCGATATTTATCAGAATCAGGTATGATATTTATATCAGTTTTTTTTTTCTTGTTTTACTTCATGATTATTTTCATCATATTTTTTTTGCGTATGTTGTATGTTATGACCTTTACCCTTCAACGTCTTTTTTTTTCTTCTTCTTCTATATCGTACTTGAGATAAATATTAGACGAAATAAAAAAAGTAAAGAATCTTGAAAGACAAGTATGTTTATTTATCGAGGTAAATATGTCAGAAGAAAAACATAAGAATTTAGTAACATAATGAAAAAGAAATGTTTT